ACTCGAAGCAGTGCAGCAGCTTGACAAGTAGTAAAGGTCGTCATTGTAACAGGGTGTGATAACATGCTTCATGGTACCGTGATGTATGAGTACTTTTATCTGACTACATGTTAGTTACTAAGTGCAAGTTTTAAGACTAGAGAGAACCCCCTCTGTTCAAAAACAAAACACAAAGGGAAACCCTGTCTAAACACAACATAATTAAAAACTGTAAAAGTTATATTTGGCAAAGATGAGAAGAAAATGCAAATGTTGTTTTTGTTGGGCAGCTGGTGTAACTACCTTGTTTATGTCTCCCTGCAGCTAACGTCCTGCATCACTTTCTCTTGTATGCCGTCTCCCCGACAGGGTCCGAGGGTATTGCCATGGTGACAGCGTTGTGATGGTACAAAGTAGAAGCCCTCGACTGACAGACGCCCTTCAGATCTTCGGGGGGGGAACCTATCACACTGGCTGAGGCGGTTGACTGCCGTCTCTTCACAGGTTCAGGAGTGAAGGAACGGCTGCAGGATAACAGCAGCTAATCAAGAGAATACTACACATTCTGTATGTTTTGCTCCTGTATCTTTAAACAAGATGTGCTTTCTTCGCAGTAGGAAAAGGGCATTGCAACGTGACACAACGTGAGAGTACAACGTTTGGAATATGAAATTAAAAGGCCTGCGAAAAAAAAAAAACTGTTTACCTCAGGCTACCACACGTAATTGAATTATTTCCAATTGACTTAAGCCTTTAATTAAATTGGCACAGTTAAGAATACATTTCTACAACTGCATGCAAGACAATTCAATACCAGCATTTTTCACTCACCAGGTTGCGGCTCGTTAAAAGTCAAACATGCACATTAGCCGGCAGCTCTCCTCCTGCTTGTTTGGACTCCCCTCTGTGTTTGCTCCTATTTCTTTGCATATCTAACGCGCCAAACTCTCAGACACTATATGCATAGATCCCATTTACCGTGCTTCTTTATTCCACCTATTCCCGTCTAAGCAGATATCATAGAATGAAATAGCTTAGTTAGTTAACCAAGTATTCTAAATGTATGTTCTCAGCACATCTCAATGAGGTCTTGCGTTGACACACAGACACTGTTTCAGGGACAATGACAAACAGCATTGTTCAAGTCTTGCCTTATTGACCAGTATCAGAAAAATAAATCAATGTCCCTGTTGCCTGATGAAATGTAGAAAACGAGTAGGAAGGAGCTTCAAGTATTTTTCTGTTGCAACGTACAGATACTTGGCAAAATAGGATTTCAGACACAATCCCTTCTTCTATTTCACACCCACATGTACAGTTGCAGATCATTTCTTTTTTTTCTCAGTTTGTGAATTTGTATTTTTCATCAGAAAAATAAATCAGAAATGGCATCGTCACACGTGGTGGACGGTGCTTCTGAATCTTGGACTTCTCAAGCTGTCACGCCACAGCATTCATCCAGCATAATCAGTAAACAGATCTTTTTGTCCACGCCCTTTTTGTTCCCTTAATGTGCTTTGCATCCCCCCGCCGGCCCCAACCCCACCCCTCCCACTCCAGTCATGCTGCTGTGATTGCTGTAAATCTTAGTTATTACCTTTCACGGCGCACACCGGCTTATCTGCGGGCTGGATCGTGGTGATTGTCGCGTCGGCGGCTGCCGTTGGGTTGGGGGTGGAATCATGGAAATGCTTTGCTGAATTATCCTTCCTGCAATGAGTTTCCTGAAGTGCCCTTTCTCATCAGTGGCGTGATTATTGAACAGAAGTTGTAGACTGTTTTGTCCGGACCTAGACGATGTTTCACAGATTGGTTCAAATAAAAGTAAATGAGTTTTCGAGCACACCGAGAAACGACACATTGCGATGCCCTCGTGAGTTAACTCAAAGCCTTGCATGTTTACAAGCAACACGGTTGTTTACAAAGGAACATGACTAGTTTTTACTAGTGCTGTCAAACAATTAAAATATTTTCATCACGATTAATCACATTTATGTCATAGTTAACTCAAAATGAATCACAATCGCAAATTTTGATCTATTCTAGATGTTCCTTTTTTTCCCTATAATTTCTTTTTCATTGTAATGCTCTTATCAACATGGAAATGTTTTATTTTATTGAAAAACAATATTGCCAAACAGGGTGCTGCAGTTAAACCATGGCTTAATATTTTCTTTGTTTCAAGTTTGCTGTGAACATAGCAGTCAGGCCTCTCATTTCAGAGACAATGAACTGTAACATTTAGGTCACCAATAAATGTTAAGCCTACTACTTTTTTTGCTTTCAGCCAGCTACTCAAACAGACAAGCCTGTTGACATTTTCAGACAACAGTGAAGCTCACTTCTTTTGCACAACATGACACTGAAAACAACCTTTCAGAAGGTACTGATGTCGCCGGTGTTGCTAAGTACTTGCGTGCAAGACGGGCCATTTAGCTGTGTGCACCTTCATGTGTGGACCACCATTTCTGGGGACATTCATGGGTTTGCATTAAAATCGTTAATAACGCATTTAAAAAAACAGCACAAATTTTTGTCAAACATGGTCCGAGATGTCTAAATTGCATGTAACTTTGATTGAAAGTGTTCGGTAGTTCAAGTATTACATAAAAAATTTGTGAAAGAAGATCATCAACCATCAGTCACACAAAAAGGCGTAGGAAATATAAGTGGCATGACACAACATTATGGCACTGCATCATGTTCACTACATTTAGACAATTCACTACAATTAGACACCTCACTACATTTTCTCCACAACGTAACGAGATGTCCCTGCATCACATTTTTTGAATTTCAAGGAAACCAGTAAGTGCACAGCATCACGCCTTCTCCACTGGACCAGCTCCCTCGAGGGCCTCGCATCACGTTTTCTTTCACAACGTGCCTCTGAAGACAGCAGCCACGCGTGTTGAGAGCAGATCTGCAGTAGAGAAGCCCCGTTTAAGAAGAGAAACAGTTGTTCACGAGGGGCACGGAGCTGTGGTTCTGTCCGCTCCCATCTTACATCACTGTTTTCTCCAAAATCACACGTACACAACTAATAAAAACAACCCTGCATGTCCTCGTGGACACACACACACACACACACACACACACACACACACACACACAGACAATGATGCAACAAAACAGCAACAACTGAGGCAGCGCTGTGATGATAGTTACTGTAGCTGAGGCTGAGATTTGGTCCATGGTGACAAGGCCTCGTGCCCCGAACACAGACAGCAGATGAGTTTCTGTCGAGGTAAGACAGGAACGTCAGACCCTGCAGGCGAATCCAACCAGACGGCAGGTTGCAGCACCACAGCTGAGACGCACCGCACCAGTGGATGGGATTTATTCACGATTAGCCATGAGATATCAAGATAGAAAGGCTGAATGGAAGTTTTTCAAAGGTTTCAACATAGGTGGCAAGTGGGAGCATTTGCTACGGTTGCTAAATGCCCGAATGCACACGCTGATGTACAACCGCAGATGAAGCAGTAAGTGGTGAGGCACTGCAAAACTACTTCAGTGCAAAACCAAAAAAGATTCAAGCAAAACCAAAAAGCCAGAGGAAAGAAGCATTTGTCTGTCAGACTGAGGACGAGACGTTTTTCAACAGGATTACAGAAAGATTCCAGCAAACGTTTTGTCTGTAAATATGTCCACGATGACCCCCGCAAAGGCCGGTCCTGCTGTCACCATCCAAATGCCAAATGCGCTTTTAAAAATATTTTGTCCTCAGATGAAAGTATAGAAATAAACATTAACATTTACAAAAGAGTAACAACTAGACACGCTGTACTAATGTATTTTTGAAAGGTTATTCCTCCTATGAATGTATTCCACTGTTTTTACGAAAGCCGATTAATTTTTACGTAAGCCTGCTGATTTCATTTCGCCCGCCTGTACTCACACAGGAAATGCATTTTTTACACCCAACTTGTGAAAAATGTATCATAGATTTTTAACCACAAACATGAGATATGCCAAATGTGACAGCCAAGTTTGTAGAAAGGGAAGCGGTATCCCTTCAATATATTCCCATTAACAGGTCATTAGCATTTATGGAGCACAAATACAATGTTCTTCCTCAACGTTTACTTGATCCAGTCTTTTGGCTATTGTGTTAAAGTTTCAAAAGTCTTTTTTATGATATGTCGATATCACCATGCTGTAATGAATGAGGACTTCGATTTCAGACCTCAACCACATTGTCAAAATCCTCTAAACATTGAGTCATGACAAATCTTCAATCTTTCAGAAAACATTAAGCTCCATGATTCTTTACCACATGACAAACTCGGTCCTTCGAGCTCGGAGTCACACCAAAACACGGGAACATGGGCCACAGGTTATTATCCGGTAATCAAGCCAGAGTAATGCAACTTAAAAGCTATTAACAAACTAAAAAGGGTGAACCTAATTGTCGTTACAATGTGTCCATTTCAAAGCTTTGTGTAGAGATGATTCTCTATGTCATCACAGCTGTTGTAATACAGCTGTCCTCTCTTTAATATACTGATCAATTCTGCTTCATTCTCCAAAACGTATCCCCCCCTGAAGGTGCCATTAGTTCAGCTTACCTCCTCCACACCATAAAGGTCAAGAGTTCAGGGGAAATAGATGGGACTTTTTTAGCTCTACTGCTGAGGACGATAGCACAACTCGGCCCTTGTGCACCGCAGTAAACAACTAAATAAAATCTTACCCGAGGCCAATCAATAAACTGAAGTTGGTTATTACTGTGACTATGCTACTGACTTGTAGTTTGTTATCTATAAAAGGGCAGATGGTTGTTGCAATAATCACCTCGCATCTCTCACTCATACTTTTATACTTTTAGTAACTCCACAGAAAATAGGAAGGAGTTCTTTGCAATGTCGCGTTCTAATAGATGATTCAACAAGTCAACAGCCATCTGGATGCAATGATATTAAGTGCGTTCAGTTCTTCAAACGGCTCGTGCTTTGAAGAGCTGAACACGACGGTTTTGCCTTTCAACAGTTAAACAAAAAAAGCACAAGAAAGGTAAGTCTGAGGGGGAATATTTTTATTACATTTGCCAAAACTGGTCTTTGTGCGGCACCATTTCTCTGTCTACACACGCATGGAAGGGTTACATAAATGGTTCCAATGCTTTAGAGAATTAGAGATGTACGTATTCTCAAAAATTACCTCTGGTCCTCACATTCAGCAAGGAAAGTTACAGCACTCGCAGCCGGCCTTCTATAAACTCAGTTCATGTACTACTCTCTTGCATTAGATTGAAGATGCCAGGTTGGCAAGAAGGGTGTGAATCCTCAGAGAGAAAAAGCCAGAGACCTGCGTTACCTGATTGGATTCAGTCCTCATGTGGATGAATCGGCCCACTGTTTAACGTTTGAGCCATTTATATTTTTAGACTTATCAATTCAAAACGGGTCGAACCGTGAAACCGAGTCTGACTGAGCCAGCTGGGTTCAGCATCTTTATATCTGAAAGCTTGATTAACGTCGTCACCATTAGACAACGTCTAGACAGCGTGAGAAGGACATTGGAAGAGATTTGACACCAAGCTTTTCCCGCTAACTACAGAATAAACTAACTTCCCACCACGTAAACCATCATCCTATCTCCCTTCCCCTGCAACGCCGTCAGAATAAATAAATGAAATACAGTACACAGATCTAACACAGCACAGCAGTCACGGGTATTTCTAGCCACAGGGAATATTTAATCAGCGAAAGGGGACTGTTGAAAAATGACAAAAAAACAGAAACATGCCAGACACTTTTATTTTCCATTGTGAGAAGGAATAATTTATTCTCTATTCAACTAGCAGAGTTCATGACAGGAGTTGATGAAAAAAACAGCACTCAGAGAAAGAAACCCCACCGTGCACTCTAGACTCAATATTGAGCCTCTTTCTCTTCAAGTATCCGGTTTACTTCTTCTAACCTCGCCTCGCTTCGTTTCCAGCCGCGAACCTCCTCTTCTGTCTTTTTTGTCACTTAATCAGGAAGCTGGGAAACAGAAGGGGATTACAGGGAGCGGGAGAGAGAGACAGAGGAGAAACAAAGAACATAGTAGTGAGGGAAGACCACGATGGGTAAAAACTGTCTGAGAAGGTACTGATTGCCTCCTTGTTATGGTTTGTGTTTTTGTTTATTAGACCAAAATGTTTTATATAAAACGCTACTGGCCTGATTTCTAGTAATTCATAATGCATCAACCGTTTCTTCTCAAGCTCGATTGCACTTCAAGAGCCGTCTGCAACTTCACTGCTCTGCTAATCTGCCTTGTGTAGGGTTGAATTGATTAATGCGCAGCAATGAACGACAAGCTTCTTTTCAGGTAACAGACGTTAAAACTAGGAATAAATCCAGTAAGTTGGTTCCTGTGAAATGGAGCCAGTTTCCTAAGACAACTAAAAACTTTCCATCGTAGTCGCTAGGCAACACCTGCCGGACGTCGAGCCCCGCCCCTGAGCCGGCACAGTGCGGCAGCCACAGATCCCGCGGGGTTGAAGACCCCCATCACAGTAAATGATCGGCCCCGGTGAAGTGCCCCTAACCACACCAATCACGTTCCAGATCCACAGGTGAGTTTCGCTGCAACATCTGCTCCAGCTGGGATGAATTGGACACAGACTGGGAGGACACGCAGAGGGTTTTCTGTCACACATTAAATCGGTTTTATGTAGTGGCGACCTTTAGCTCTAAGTGGGACCAAATTGCTGCTGTTCTAGCTCACTAAGCTGAAGGGCTCTAGTGTCCAAACACATTCACTGTACCTACAGCAAAAACAAGCCATGACAGTCCCGTGAATCCCAGTCATCAGGTTAAGGACCAGCAATGTGTGTGAATGCATTGGGTCCATTGAGTGTACTGCTACAAAATCAGGGTGTAAATTCCTGCTGAAGGTTGAGCTGGCAGACTGAGCTTCAGAGAAAGAACCTTGGCGCCGTGGGTTGTACATTTTGAAGGGAGTGTTTCCAATCGAACAGCTGTCTTATGGGATCAATGAAATAATGGGAATGGATGGATCCTGTGCTGGCCTGGATTTTATCACTGTGTCTGCAATAACTTTGTAGCGATTTTATGTCAACTTCAGGGATTTTAAGATTCATTGTATATTGTGTTTGAATAACTGTTGAGTAAGTTGGATGAATCTTGTGTTAGTATCTGCACAGTGATACAGTTGCTATAGTTACCTGTAGGGGTATCCATGGTACTTGGACCGGAAAATGGAGAGCAGGAAGCTGAAGAAAAACACCACCAGGCCAAGGCCAACCAGGCAGATGACTGGGAAGAGACACACACACACACACACACACACACACACACACACACACACACACACACACACACACACACACACACACACACACACAATGTCTTTCAGTTAGGAAACAATACCCAAAGAATGTGTGACATGGTCCATAAAACATTTATAACATACAAGTTGTTACTTTTGATGCTTTTGAGTTTCCATAATTTCCAACTTTTTGAAAATACCCTGAAGGGTGCATAATCATTATTACACAATGACCCGGGAAAAGGTTGGATTCCTGGCTAAAGGCAGACATTTAAATCATTTCATGCACTTTATAAGTGACTGTCTGTTTGATCTGTTTAAATTGAATATGCTTGCAGGGTTTATACATCACACACACACACACACACACACACACACACACGCACACGCACATGCACGCACACGCACACACACACACACACACACACTAACACAGACCTACATTCACACAATGACAAAATGAACATTTGACATCAGCTATAATGCTGATAGAAAGGACCTCTGGCTCTTAACCATGGCAAAACATGCAAATATTTAATTTATTTAAATAATCCACTACATGCATGCATGTGCAAATGCATCCATCAACCCTGCTGTGCTGCAGGAAATTGTGTTTACAATCACCTTATTTCCTCAGTGGCTATTCTAAAGGGAAACATACATAAGCATGATCTTTAATCTTCAGGGGAATTGTGAGTGTCTGCGTGTTTGAGTGTGTGTTTGAGTGTGTGCACACACGCCCTCATGTAGCAGCTAATCCCCGAGAGGGACTGTGTTAAATTAAACTGTCACCAGTGTCTGATACTGTTAATCAGGGATTAGGATGAGGGCCTCTCCTGGAGACTAAATAGTGAGATATGGCTTGTTCTCGCCGCGTGTGTGTGTGTGTGTGTGTGTGTGTGTGTGTGTGTGTGTGTGTGTGTGCGTGCGTGAGAACAGATGATTCTGCTTAAAGTTGATTCTCAGTTTAAAGGAGCGTCTGTGCTTGTAAGACTACATTTGCCGTCTTTGATCAGAGTCAAATCCCACATGACTGTTTTACTTTCTTTCTCTCACTTCTTACACAACGTATACATTTACAATTCACACACACAAACCCACATAATCGCAAACCTCAGCGGCCGTATTGTGCTGTTTGTTTGTCTGCGAGACGGTCAGCAATTGATATTGATATACATTCAAGTTCCAATTCATCTACAGCCGGCGCACACACACTTACAAACAGCACTATCCAGGAGGCCTCAGCAATCAGCGCATGAGTGCACGCTTCCTTCTCTGTCTGTTCTTGTGAGGATCAAAGGCCATCAGCCAAGCGGGTAAATAGTTAAAAATCATTTTTTTTCCTTTGAATTACATTTCTAGGGGGTAGAGGGCTGACCTGGGGCTAAAGAGGGGTTACACCGATGGCTTATTCAAGTAAATATCCTGACAAGTGTTGTGTGAGAAACCTGGTGTGTGCACGTGTGTGCATAGGCCAAGTCGCTTAAACGAGAGCAGTGCGTGTTCACGGAGAGCCGCCACATCGACACACCTGCCTCCAAGGACGTGAGCGACGGAACAGGGGTGTATCTTCATTAGCTGGAGCGGGGTGTATTTCCCACAGCTCATCAGTTATGACTGAGAGGTATCTTAGTATGCTTCCGTGGATAATGACACTCAGACACACACACGCGCACTAAGCATGCTAATGAAAGTAATTTATGACCTTGGCGAAATGACAAGTTGTTTAAGCTGAGTGATTTCCCTCAGTGGCGAAGGTGGCAATCCGTCTTTCGACTGTATGATTCGGATCAATTCAAATCATGAAATATCGGCACGGCAGGGATAAATGTACTTTTCCTCGGCACCGGGGAGCCAATAAACATAATAGGTTAAGCCTACCTTATTAGAAGGACAAATATGAATAGATATTAGGACGCTAAATAGTTCTTTAGGTCCTTCTTTGTTTGTTGACTCTGCCTCTGGATGCGACCACCCACAATGATTTCACCATTGTTACGGCAAACTGCGACAGAGGAGCCAGCGGCCTCTAATGTTTGGATTATGAACGGCCACACTGCATAATTACAAGTAAACCACAGCTTGAAGACTCATCTTTTTGGTAACATGTTTATTTAGTATTTCCAAACAGAGAAACAAGCGTGCTATTATCACACAGCCTGTGAGGCACATCGACCCCCCCCCCCCCCCTCCGCTAGAGCTCACCGTATTCAAATAAAATAATTATTTGAATAGAAATGTACTGTTTAGCCAAGCAGAATTTTATTTTTTAATTATTATGCAGCGGCATATTATACATTATACTTCCATTGCTACTTCCCGTTCCGTGCTCCGTCTATTCGTTTTCCCCATCCTTGCATCCATCACAGCCCCCCCATCCACTGACAGTACATAGGTAGTGATTTTGTGACTCCATTTACTAGTTCAGTGCTTGCTGAGAAGCCGAGTGTGCACTGTCATTTCTTGGACAGATGCCCATGGGAGCAGCAGATAGCTTCCTGTAGCTGCCATCAGCAGTATGGCTGCTACTGTATATGTGAGGGATTTAACGCCCACGTCCAGTGATTAAACCACAATTCAACTCTAATCTTCTCTGTTACTGACAGACGACTATTCGCTGTACCGCTTCATAATGCACTTATTTCGTTTATGTGTCCATTTATGTGCTTGTGCCATTGACAGCGTTGTGTGGGATTGTGGCAAATGTGATTTGCAGCCTCACACAGGTGACAATTATGCAAGCACGTCTGCATGTGTGTCCACGTGTCCAGGTATCTGTTCTTTTGTTTTGTTTTTCGGCCTGATACTGAGAAACAAGTCTTGAGGTTGTTATGAAGTAATTTTTAATTGCCATGCTTTAACATCTCAAGGAGAATTCTTGGTTAAAGTAGAACAAAAAGTTGATGATCTTGCCTACAGATTTGTGAGTGTGTGTGTGTGTGCGCGCATGGGTTTGTGGGCGCACAGATACATTGAAAGGCTTCTGGAGTTCCTTCTTTTATCACGCTAATTAAAATTCACTTGTGTGCAACACTGTCTCTCTGTTTGAGATAATTATCAGTACGGGCCATCTAATATCTAAAACCCCCTTTCATAATGTAGATTATACAGAATCTATGCTTGGGCGGTGAAGACAAACAGTTGATATCAAGGATACCCAAGCCATTTGTGTGGTTAAATGTGTCCATTCACACATTTGTATGTTCTTTTCACATAAAATGACAGCACACGTCAGTCATCTTCAAGCCGCTTCTCCTTCATCGGGGGCCGCTGGGGGGCTGGAACCCTTTCCCATTGCTTTGTGGCCTCATGCTACAAACTAGGACTTCTAGCATCGATTTTGATCTTTTGAGTGACGGCGTGTCAGTTGCGATATGTGTGGTATGTGCGGTTTGTGCGGTATGTGTGGTATGTGCGATATGTGCGGTATGGAGGTCCATGTTGGGAGAATAAGGAATTTTCCTTACTTCTGACCATGATCTATTATTTCATCCCAGAGCAGTGTAGTAACATTCAAAGTAATAAGAACGTCATGTCTCAGCTGATGAGCATTAGTAATGGTTTTAAGAACCTCTAGACTATTAAATGTGAGGTATGTGAGAGATGTGAGAGATGAATTTGAGTCATTGATTTCAGATTGTCTGAGCTAACTGTGCCTTTGAGTTATCTGTGAATAGTCAGTGACTGACATTCAGGTTCACTGTGCCACATAAACGCACCAACAATGAATAAAAAGGAGTAATAATTCACAGAGCAAAATGCCCAAACCTGTACTAATACTGTAGTTGTGTATTCGGAGGCAGACTTATTTTTATAACAGCTCAAGCTAATTGACAGTTATGCAAATACACTTCATACTAATGAAGTTACTGCCATTATGCTTTGTGTACATGTAAATGAGTGTGTGTGAGAATATGTGTGCAATGTAATTTTCCAGTAATCAGAAATGGAAAGAAATAACTGATTATGAGGTTGCGAGTGAGTGTGAGTCCAATCACAAAGGGGAGAAAATCCTCTCAGCATTCACTGTAAGTTTACCGGACAAGATACTGAGAGGTAGGTACTACGTTATTACATTTTTTATCATGGTATGCTGCTTCTGGAGCAGAAGCCAAAAACGGCCTCAGAGTGGAACAGGTTACCCCGTTAAAGAGCAAGCTGATGTTTCTCTACCAGACAAACGTGTCAGAAACTTGCCATGCTTGATAACAGTAAATTGCATGAGGACATCTGCAAACCAATTTTCACATTTAGTGGAAGCAGCACCTACTGGAGACCATCAAGGAAATTGATGGTTTTGAAATGTATTCTGCACTTTGACTGAAGAAGGCTTCTGTTATTCTTATTTCTGTCAGTGAAAATACAAAATATGCCTTTCAGCCTTTGGTGAAAGGCATATTTTAGTGGTGCCATACATTTTGAATTTAATACTATTTGAATTAAAATATATTCCTTTTGAGTGGATTCTACATAAATTCCATAATTTTACATTATTCATTAAAAACAGCAGTCATAAGAAGAACAAAAGATTAATCATGATCTATTTATTTTTGACAATAAGACAATATATAGACTAAGAATTAATGCTTTACAGAATGTGTGATTATTCTACATAGAAGCCAACCATTCAAACACCAGTGGTGTGCAAGGATAATTCACCTACCTGTTAGTTATAAGGTGGCAATAACGTCAATGACACAATGACACACACACACACACACACACACACACACACACACACACACACACACACACACACACACACACACACACACACACACACACACAGCTGAGAATTGCTTCACTCACAACATAAGCAAAGTAAAAAAAAGTACTCACTTCTCCTCTTGCCAACATCTCCCTTGGAGGTGGCAGCCTCATTTAGCAGCACCATCCCCATGGTGATTGCAGCATCTGGGACAAGGTTGTCAAGGAAACAGCTCACTTGCATAGCGGAGTGGGAGAAGCTGGAAGTAGACACTGACCCAGGGACAAGTGCTGGACATACATATGCACTTAGAGATACTAGTTTATGTGCACCATGATGTTTTGGAGAGTTAATTAAACGACAAATCAACTCTTCCAACATATCACGGTAAACATGCCAGACGCTTGGCCCTTAGTGTCCATGTAGAGAACTTGGTTTAGACTGCTGACGTGGGACTGAAAGCCCACTGGGACATTTCATCGTACCATACATACACTCGCAGTATTCGGCTATTGTTTAAACTATAGGAACATTTTGTGACATAAACCGTGATGAAAACCCGATGAATTCAGACTTTTTGCAAACATTTCTTTTCTTACAGAAGCGAACGGTTATCAACTCAACACCTTTCTCTACAATCACTGCAAAGCGCAGCCTCAGGTGGCTCATAATTACGGGTTCCTCTCTTTAGCGTGCGCTGCATAGCGATCACGACTGAAGGAAACCTGAAGAGAGCACAAACAACAAACAAAGGCTGCCACATGTGGAGAAAAAAGAAACAAACTCAGGCTACGGATTATATGTGAAAGACATGATGTGCTGCTGTGGCACAAACACAAGAGATGTTTCCCCACACGCAAGTGAACCGTGGAAGGAAGTCTGCTGCAGTGTAAATTTATGACATTAAGTGGGTACTTATGTATGGAGTCATTTTGGAGCAAGTTATTTTAGTTCTGCCTTCTGTATTTATTTTATCTGTCGTGATGCAACCCAATCACTCTGGGAAATATTCACACCACATCACGAGAGGCTGCTTGATATTAAAGTCACACTGGAATATTCATGATTGCTTGTGTGCACATGACCAAAACAAAAACATTTAAAAGCTTTGATACTAGTTTTCATTATTACCAAAATTCCAACAAACTGCTTCCATTCCACTTCATTGAAACTAATCGGCGTTAGAGACATAATCAAAATAGCAAATTAGCACAAATAAAAAAGGACGTGTATGTAATTATGTCCTAGTTTGTCAACAACAAATGACACCAATGCTAAGAAATCCTTTTGTTTTTTTCTGCTTTAAAGCTAAAATTGATGTTCTGTTGATACATTTGTTCAAATCAAACAGCTTACTTTGAGACATCAACAACCTAATAGGTTTCATCAGGTGACGTTGCTCCTGCCCTCTAACTTTATAATATCCATAAATAATATGTTGCCATGTGAGCTGGTGAGTCAGTCATTTTCCCAGACTACAAACATGTCATTTGACGTTATCGTTGTTGGAGTTTGAATCCTCCCACTGTGAACACACTTAAATGAAAGTAGTACTGTGACTATACGGCAAGAGGCTGATGGGGGATGTTCCTCAGTGTCTCCACCTAATCAGTACCTCGGTTTTCTTACGGCAGACAGCTCAGCCTAAACTGTCCCATCCGATTATTGTGAAACATCCATTAGATCATTTCAATGAGGGGGATCTTATGTTAGCAATACTCAAGTGTCCATGTCAGAATGAGAGAAATACATTTATCTGCTTATATTCCATCCTATAATGACAAACATATGCAACTTTGAGTGGTGCTTGATAATGTGTTTTTGTGTATATTGCTATTTATAAGGATTATACAGCGTTACATCCATGGGGAAACTGCATCTATGAGAGTCATAAAATCTGTTTAAACAACCTGCACAGACAACAAGCGGGCGGCGTGTTAGCGCTACAGCAGGTGTGAATGTGTGTTTCGCTTAGATGTTATCAGATGGGCAAAAAATAAATAAAAATAAACTGTGTTGGCGTGGACAAACAAATACTGCTGTGGAGCAGGTGCGACCTTGGACCTGCTATTTCCCCACGGGGACCAACACGGCGTCCAGGAATGAACGATATCATTACCCACACAGATACAAAAGCAGCAGTGCAAGAACGCACAGGTACACAAGCAGACAGGGAAGAAGACAAACAGAGAACGAAAACATTCATCCCGCACACACACACACACACACACACACACACACACACACACACACACACACACACGCACACACACACACAAAAGAGGACAATCTCCGGTATTTGTGGGGTACGTTTGTTCAGTCCAGCAGGCAGTCTCCCTATAGGGAACGCACACGGATGCACAAAGCAATCGTAGACACAGATTTCAGACACATATCAGGTGGCCTCCTCGCTGTTTCCGGCAAGGCGTTTGTGAAAGGATACTCAGAAGAAGGATGATGTGAGACTCAGCCACGAACTGAGCCTGACTGCTGCCATGAATGTAACTCTGGGGAGGAGAGAAAGAAGGGAAAGAGAGACAGACATATTGGATTAACGGTGTTCACTTCAATAGAAAAAAAGGTCACACTAGGTTACACCCTTTGTGAAACAATCCAATAAGGAAATGTAGAGTCGAGTTAGGCACGGTGGCCAACGGTACTGTGTCGTATAGGTATGTAGGAAACAGTGAGGAGGGAAAGGATTTGGAAAATGTTCAATAAAAAAAGGTTGTGACCTTTTCTGAAACACCACTTGCTTGAACACAAATTACGGAAATAGCAACCTGCGCTTCTAGTGACTCATGAACCCGGCTTAAAACATTGGCCTGTCTGGACTCGGTTGTAGCTAAAACAACGTTCAGTTCCTGCGATCTTTTGCTTTATCGCTTACTAAAGATCCAGAGCGATTCTTTTATGTGTAAGTGTGTGTGCGAGTGTGTTTGTGGGAGTGGGAGTTTTTATGTTTGACGGAGCCACACATGGTTTTCCCAAATATTCCAACACGTCACTCATGTTGGGACGTGCACGTCGCTGTGAGAGTGCTTGCTGTCATCAAGACTTTCCCTCTGTAGTGCGCAGGTGAGGTAGAGGCGCCTCCAACAGCATTGCGGATTCAAAGTCAGGCAAAAGAGACCTCCGCTTTGTTACGGAATGATTTACAGCGTGAAACTCAACTCACACAGATCTCTGTTCATATGCAGGCGTTAAGTAATATGAGCCAAACTGAGAGTTGACCCCAAAGAAACAAAGAGTGGAGGAGAGTGCTGTGCTGCGCAGGGGGTTAACCATTATGTTATGTCTGTGAAGGGAAATGGGCCACATTTCAGGAAGAAGAAAAGGAAATGACTTGCTCATTGACAGAAACTCCATAATTTTTATTTTTTATGTCCTTCAAAGTCTTTTCAGACCAAGATCCAAAATGTGCAGCTAGATTTACCACCTCTATCACTGTGTATCCAACATATAGTATTTCACAGTGCTTGTTTTCATTCCTCCCTACGCCTCCTATTCACTACTTCATAACTCTTTCTGTTAATTGTATTAACATTTAGAAGCAGGGGTGGTTGTCACTGTCGGTCTGCGAGTCATTATCACCTCATGGTTAATGGCTTTTTGGAAAGGGAGTTCATTTCAGTCACTCCGCACTTCTTTTGAGAGTCGAAACTTGGAAAAGATTCAAATTAGAATTTAGCATTCAGTTATGCTTCTGGGCGGGGATTTAGTCTTCCTAAATCTTTCCATTAACCCTTGATATTTGACTGCGACAATGAATTTGAATGTAAACACAATCCAACCAGTCAAACCAGTCTGACATGTCCAGTTGAGTTGTCAATTTGCCGTGTGTAGATCTGTGCTGCAGTCAGCACCCAAAGACTCTCACACACACACACACACACACACACACACACACACACACACACACACACCGGCTAAAGCTCAAACCCTGCTCCAGCAAGCTTCTGTGATAAGACGTCAGAGGCCCAATTTAAATGGCATCTGTTTGTGTGTGATGGGCGTAAAAGTAGAGCGACAGACAAAGCAGGACGGGGTGGAAGTCTTGTGGAAATGAGATAAATAGGAGGGCGAGAGGAAGGAAGTCTTTCGGTGTGTCTCGCATTGTTGAATCCCAGCAGAATGTTAGCGTCTAGGCTTACGGGCACATCTAGGGCCTGTTTTTCCACTTCACTGCCCCGGTGTTCATTTCTTCCCCTATCAGACAGGACTAAGGATGGAAAGATGAATAGAAGATGACAAAGGAGGCGGGGTAAAGGGTGGACGGCTTATTCTTGCTTCAGTGGAGATAAACAGAGAATTTTTGCACTTGAAAGCAGACGTGAAGATGACAAAGACCCGGCGCTGAAACCGATGCCTTTGTCTTCAACACAAAACTGTTGCTTTGCATTATGGGGAGTTTGAATCGTTATCAGCATGCTTTCATTGTTGACTGACAAACTAAGGCTCCTGTAGTGACACCGTGAAAAAAAGAGTTTGTTTCGGTTGCGTTGGACTTTTCCGAAGTTGGTCAGAGAGCTTTTTGCATTCGTCAGCACGACATGAAAAACTGCCCGTGTTGCTTCAATACATCACTAGGGTGAACACTCCGAGTCCAACCATGTGAACCGATAACCAAAAAAATGGATATGAACCACTTTTTAGTTCACATCATCACTGCTGATCAGATTCAGCTCCCTTATGTCACATTTATCCAACCGACGTCTGCTATGTGTACGCGTCCAGACCCATGAACTTCAAATCACAGCATGAGGAGATATGTTACATTTTGTTTGATGTTACTGACACACGCATTTGATCATCTTGGGGGCAGATTTCCGCCGGGTGGAACATGTCCAATGTAATTGACTACAGCACGCGGCTGGGTTTTGTTTCCAGGGTCAACGCACACCAGAGGTAAACAAAGTTGCGTTCAAATATTTTTTCACATTGATCTCGGTCACAATAATCGCGTAGATTAACCCGTTCATTTTGACAGCCCTAGTTTTTATTAGGACCATTCACACTGACAATTCCATTTTCTAATGCTGAATTTATTATACTACTGGATTAAAAAGTCTTGAAACAAGAAACTCGTCTTGTTTAACACGGGCAATCTTTTGCTGTGTCATCCGCATTTAAATCCACCCATGAGTAAATGATTTAGTAGTCCAGAGGCTACTCTGCTGCAGGCAAAAATCCTGCATTAAAAAGATACTTTAGTATGAATACCAAAGTATTACCGTCAAAAGGACCAACCACTAAAAGTACCGAATTACAAGCAAATACTTTGTGCTTCAGAATCCAAAGGTGGAAGTTGTTTTTTCATTACTAGAATCGAACAAACAAAACTATTTTACAAGACGCTGCTTTCTACATGTTATACAAACAGGAACTGCAGAGAGAGCGTGTGAGCACCCGCCGTGCTGGGGGCATGAAAGATTCCTCAACCCATGGCCAGGCACTTCCAATTAATCTGATGGATTAGAATGCAGGAGCTCCATTCATTAGTGTGCACTGCGGAGTGTGTGTGTGTGTCTATGTAGCGCTAGAGACTACTTAGGGAGAATCTGTCTATGTGAAAAGGTGCGTGCTCATAAGAAAGTTGTTAGACATCACGGCGTTCTGGAAGTAAAAAAAAGCAGCCACAGCTCGTAAAACCAACGTGGAGAAGAATGGAAGCCAACGGCATCGTCGCACCTCGTGACTCTCACTCTGATGGCAAGTCAGTCACTCTATTGCAGGTGCAAATGAAAGGAAGAGCCAGTCAGCAGCGACAGCTACACAGAGAGAGCTGTGGGTTAAATCTACCACTGCAGGGCAGAAACACATTGAATACACCAATGCACATCTAACAGCATCCTCCCGATAAAAAAAAAAAAAAAACGCTAACCCTATCTCGCATCTTTAATTGAATTGCAAGAGAGATCTTTTTCAATTTAGTAGTCCGTAGGGACCTATGGCCTTGTACTGCGTAATACCAAAGTGGTTGATGTATTCCTTACTTACTGACGTTGCCATTGGGCAGAATGCTTCCTCAGTCCCAAGCAAAAGTATGTTGTCTGTCTTTTGAACTTTCACCACTATTGTGTCCCTGTTTTTAATGTAGTTTTAACATACAGCATCCTCTCATATACTTATTTCTTACCTTTTTTAACTAAGGCTCATCTTCATGAATTCAGGCAAATTCATGCTGTGGTGCTGTCTGGTACAACTTTAATTTCCTACCACTCCACTTAATCTGATGGATTAGTGTTTTAAAGAGGCCCATGTCTTTGAATGAGAATTAAAACACCAAGTCTATTGTCTATAAAAAAACAAAAGAAAATGAAGGTCCGATGAACCGAAGGACAACCAAAGTGTTGTTTTCATTCATTTGTAAGTGTGCAGGTATTTATTCCGTAGAATAGAATTCTGCATAACCTTAAGGTACGTTCAAGGCAATAATGGAAATAGTTAGTATTCTATTCTCCTTTTTATTCAACACACCCTTGGGAAGAATACATAGAATGCACTGAATAACTTATAAATCTATCAAAATGCAAAATCACTCCTAAGATTATTTCTCCAGAGGGCGTCAAGAAAGTAAATGGTAAAAGGTTAGCTCAATCAAAAATCTAAATATCAACGTTACAACTAAAATACCCCCAGACCTTTATACCAAAAACGTGCCCTCAGGATAATTGACTACTGTATTTATTTCACCAGTATGCCCCAAGTTGAAGAACTCTGAAAAAATAAGTGCTTATATCCTTTCCAATACAAGAAGAAATATGTGAACTGCACGGTTTGTGTGTTTGTGTTCATACACACATTTGAATACATTGACATTAAAAAGCCTTGTTTATATAAGACCTGCATGAAACAGCCCATTTGTCAGACTTTGAAGCGAATTAAGTGTCCGCACCAACGCAGGCGTGTGATATGCATTTACATATACACGTGCACCGAGAGGAAGGCCACGGGCAGCTGACATACTTATTACTGTACTAAAATGACGTTAAGAACGGGCTTCTACAAGTGGCCGTCGGAAAACAGTAAAGATGTAATAGTTGGGATTAATTGGCACGTTATGTTGAGGCTGATGAGGCCCAGTATTGGAGCAATGACCATACCGTGTCCCTCCGGCGCTTCTGTTCACTTGACCATTCTCTCTCTAGAACCAAACTGCTGTAATGCTAGCTGTTAATAGATGTGGGGCAGATAACCTTTAGAAATAGCTGTATTCATCCTTTTTCATTCTGTATCATGCACAAGTGTGTGTGTGGATGTGTGTTTTGTTTGGTAAAGGTCAGGAGGCACTTCGACAGGAAAAGGGATAAATGAAAAGTCAACAAAGCAGAAAGAACAGAGGAGAAAGAGTAAGTAAGAGAGAGGATGAGAGATGGAGTAGAGACATGAGATTCATTTCTACAAGGGACAGGTGGGACCGCATGTGTTGGTCAAAATGATCCAGGAATTGAACCTCGCGCAAGGTACTCTGGGCAAGAGTGCAGCATAAATACCTTCAACAGAG